ACTAAGTGATCCTACAGGGGAACCGCGAGTTACTTGCAAGTTAACTGGGAAACTCGCAGTCGACTCGCAGCTGACTTCAAGTTCGCACACATACTCCAAAAAAATTCCTATAGCAACATGGACTTATAGGGCAACCATCTTTCCTATAACTCGCAGTTATCTCAGTAGAGTCCGCTTCACCTGTGACTTAAGTGCGGTTGATGATGATCGTTAACTTCAGGTCGCTTAGATTACTGCTATCTCAGCTAATTGAACCAAGGCGTTTATTGATAGAGTCAAACCCTGGCTAATTGACGTATTCATTTCGCATAATACCTGAATTTCGTGTAACTTAATATCAAAAATTTTTTTTTTGCAGAGATTGAGGCTTACTCGATTTTTGGCATCATAAACCTATTCAAATTTCTCTTGGAGAATCGTGTATTCTTAATTAAAAAAACGATTATAGCCATAAGAACACGATATAAGCCCTGACTAGTTAACATATTCATTTCTTTAACATAATTCCTAAATTTTCTGTAACCTAATATTGAAATTTTTTTTGCAGAGATTGAGGCATCGACTTTTGGCATCGTAAATTACTATTCATATCTTACGCATTAACAGATTACTCTAACTAAAAACCTCAATTTAAGAGTGCCGCCTAACTACGAAAAATCGTATATTTTCGTGAGAATATCGTGCCTTCAGGTTTCCTATAAGATGCTCTTCTTAATATGATAGGAAGAAAAAATCTTACACAATTTCTGAATGAATGGATTAGTTCACTAATTTATGAAGTTAAGAAATAATAATTAAAAGGTCTATTCAATGGTTTCGAAGCGTCTACGATCGAGTTTCTGAGAAATGTACTGATTGACTTTTTCAAGAAGGAGTACAAAGCTCACCACGCCTAATTGGAAGCTGAAGTTGTACAACACCTTCCTCTTCGAGTTTATTGAAAATCGCTAGACTAGTTCCGATTGCTCCGCTATCAAAATGTTTTACGGACACCACATCAGTATCTAAAACATAGTAATACAAAAAAATTGAGATGAAAAGGGATTTATGTAGTAATCTTATGGTGTTGTTCTTTAAAAAAGGTGTCTTCAGAGTAGCAAAGATCATTAAATACCTTTTGCGCAACACTCGCATGAGTTTTTGTTACTCATTAATACATAGATATCGTCATCTTCGATATCGATCGTAAATTGGTGATTAATCGAAAGTCCATTTGCAAATAGCCTGAAGATCGGTACTTTTGTGATTTCAGACTTTTCAAATGAGTCACCTTTATGCAACCAAAATTCTCACCATTTTATGCAAATCTCTTGCCGCTCATCTCTTCGGAGTTCTTCGATTTTTCGACCAGGCATAGCAACCGCGATTACAGCGGCCAATTCACGGTCACTCATTTGGAGAACTCGACGCGTTACTCGCGTCATCGTCTGAAATATGGTTGAGAAGATTTTTAGTTACAGATACAATTACACGGACCACCTTTTATGAATTCAAGCGTTAGATTTAGACTAAAATTCCTCAGGGCCAGTAAAATTGTTAATTTCTTCTAATAGAAAAATAGATAAAAAGTTTTTATTGCGCGTCAATTCAAATTTAATGGTTCAAGAAAGACATTAATATATTAACACCAAACAAAATCAACCTTTTGAATTCCTAACATATACAGAATCCCCCAACTTATGTGTCGGAGAACGCTTAAGAGGCAACGAGCAAAATTCAGTTACATTTGTAAGTTTGAATACTTAATTTATTTCTATATATGGAGATGGATAGAACTGTAGTCTAGAAATAAAATTTGGGAAAAAAAGAAATAAGCCAATTGTTGAAAATGCGACAATCCAGA